CCCTGGCTCAGTGACTGGACTTCCTGCTGTTACAGACACCCTGAGACTACGCTTTCACCCTTCTTTACCTCCTTGCTTCATTCCCTCTCTTTTGAGAAGCTCTTTGCACATATTTCTTCTTTGCTAAACTCTGTATTTTAAAGAGGTTGCACGAGCTTAGACATACCATGTCTGTTGCTCACTGTGTCTGTCCATGAGGCTTCAGAGGCCCACAGTATACTCAGTTTGCCCCCGCCTGGTGCTCCATAGATGCTGATTCTCTCCCAGGTGCACCAGTTTCTCTGCCCCTCTCTGGCCACCTAATGGCATCTGCAGACGAAAGAGGCCACAGAAAAGTCCCGCTACCATGTGCCATGTTGAGGATGGCCATGACAAATCAAGCCCCTGCAAAAACACAGGCAGGTTTTTTTTCTTCCAGCTGCCATGCAAGAGTTCTCATGGCATTTAAAATGTAATGGTGTATGCATTCATTATTTACGCCCTTGGGGGGAAGCTCTGGAGAATGTTCCTCAGGCTAAACATTGTATGTGTTTTCCAGAAATACAGGCTATCAGAAATCCAGGGCCAGTATTTGGGAATAAAAATCAACACAGGCAACTCAGTATCACAGGGAATTATCTAATTACTATTATTAGTTTTGTTGCCACCACATTTGGTTCCTCCAACTTCCCCTGCAGGTGAGTCTTTAGCCAGCTGACCAATATCCCCACTTTCCAAATGGAGCAGAAACTGATTGGCAACAATAAGCCTTTCATCCCAAGCCTTTCTGCCTCAACTCCCTCAGAGATCTTTCCATGGAAACTCCACTCGCTCTTATAGCTCCCCTCAGTGACTGGAAAGTGCTCTACCATGATGGAAGCACCTCAGTACCCAGAGTTCACTGCCTTCAGGTCCTTCAGTACTGCAGTTTTAAAATGTTAAATCCCCTGAACAGCCCAAGCTTCGTCTTTCTACGCATATTTTCAAGATACCCAACCTAATGTTTTTTTAAAAATATATCCTTTTTCTTACTCTCAAATTTAATGTCCTTCACAGCGCTCACACCTTCTCCTTTTAGGTACTAATAAGTCTGATTTGGCCACGTGTCCCTTGCTAGAGGATTCCTACAATTGCTCCCTTCCCTGACAGAGCTGAGATAACGTTGTCACAGGTACAGCCCTACGATTGTCCCTTTTGCTCTGTAGTAGTACTGCTGTTCAATACAGAGAACATTCGGGACAGTATCTGCTCTACTTACTGTAGACAGTTTTTTATCCAGCTAGTAGTGAACAAATTATTCTGGTATTTCCACACAGAAAGTTGGGTGCTGGAACAACTCAATTTGTCCTGAGGAACATATATGGCATTTGTATTCTGTAACATGTTACTATTAAGGTTATAATAAAAAGAACTGGGAACACTTCTCTGGGTAAGCTGTTAAATGCAGAGCCTACAAGCTGTACTACACAAGTCCTGAACTCAGCACACAACTCCCTGAAAAGCTAACTCAAATAAAGGTGTAGTTGCTGCCAACCTTTTTCCCTCTAGCTATACAACTCTACACTCTGTCTAATGATAATACTAGTATTTATCAAATTGCTTAGTAATACAGCTCGCTTAGCTGGCAACAAACTCATTTTTTTCTATCTGCATATGGAGAGGTGTTACTTTTCTTCACGCTGAATCCACTCAGGTCAGACAAGCTGCAGTGAGAGGGCACAACTGCTCAGACAGTGGGGCAAGAGAGACCAGAGCAGCCTCCTGGCAGACTGCTGTCAAGCTGCCTGACTGGTTTCTGAGCTTTCTCAAAGGCAATAAAATCAGCATTCAGCCCCACAAGAGAAGGAAAAATGCTTTTTTTGTCTTTTTTGTTTCCTCTTATCACAAAAGGAAGATATGAAAAAGCGTGTCACTGGCAGGAGGTTAAATACATTTTTTCATGGTTGCTGTTTTATGTTAGAAATTCAGACCTTTTTTTATCCTGCTATTTTAGAGAGCTCTCTAGTAGCTTGCCAGAGGGAGCAGGCAGGATTATGATGTCAAACAAAATAAAGGTAACATCTTCTAGGAGAAACAAATATATTCAGACTGATTTTACATTTTTAATGGTTTTGATTGTTTTCTGTTTAGCCAGCATCTCCAAACCTAGAGGAACTGTACAGTATACACTGTTTAGTGTGCAGAGACGTGCATTCCTGCAAAAAACATCCCATCCATTATGCTCATTTTGAAACAGTAAGAGAAGAACATGAGAGAGAGGGGAAAAAAAAAAAAAAAAAAAGGCTGTATTTGTAAAAGAAAGTATTGGGTGTCTGTTACAACATTACTTTTTCCTCTGCACACTGGGAAAAATGGTGAGTGGCAGTGCTGCGCTTATGTTTACCCTAGTTAAATAAAAATGCAGTGGTTCTTTCAAACCTCAGAGCTGCCAGCAGCACTGTAATTGCATGTGGTACTTGAAGAGTTTGATAATTGTTTTTCTGTAATTCGATTATGAAGCATGTCTTGGATCACCCACTATGCAAGGGTAAGTGTTCTGACAAAACTCGATAACAAAAAATGGATGCTAATGATGAGCTATTCCAGTCCTGAACTGATGCCAAGGAACAACTCGAGCTGCAACCTTGATATATAAAAAAGCTCGTAAAATGAGAGTAATTATTTTTCTGGTCTCTCCTTCCTACCTTCCCCTTCAATTTCTTGGAATGTGGGCAAAATTAATTTAGCGATTGTCACTGCCTGGAGACAAGAGCCAAGGTAGCACTGACCTGTGGTCTGATCAGCATCAGTGTTTGTTGTAAGAAGCCTCTGATTTTAAACAGGTCTGCATAAAATCATCAGCTCTAAGGTACTAAAGTAACGTCATCACTGCTTGGCTGTAGTACAGTTTCAAATGATGGAAACGAACCATGAACTCCCCTTCTTTTGGTTGGGATTTGGGGTTTGACTGCTGTAGTAAATGGCTAGACACACATTAAGCAGATTTTGCACACAGGGTAGATAGGTTTGCCACAGTGATTGCAGGCAACCCGGAGAGCAACACCACGCAGAGCGACGGCGCATGTGCCTCATGAGTAATACGGGACCCCGCAAAAAAGCAGGAGAGGCTGCACCCCAGAGTTGTGAGCGCCGTCCCAACAAGGCCGCCGGGCAGAGCAGCGCCCGTGAGCCCTGACCGCTCCCTGGCGGGCCGCTGGCCACACCG